TTCCAGTCAAGACAACACAATCATTTCACTGATCCCCAAAAGAGCTAAACCAGATTCTTTGGGACAATTCAGGCCTATAAGTCTTTGTAGTGTAGTCTATAAAATCATATCCAAACTGCTTGCACAAAGACTTAAGTCATGTCTTAACTGATGTAACAGTGATTATCAAGTTGCATTTGTTGAGGGTAGGCAGTTGATTGATAATGTCATTATTGATGAAGAAGCTTTTCACTTCTTAAATAGACACTCATCTTGTCGTAATTTCTTTATGGCTTTAAAGTTAGATTTAATAAAGTATTTTGATCGTGTTGAATGGCTATGCCCGAAAAAGATTATGCTTCAAATGGGTTTTCATTCTGATTTTGCAAAGGTTATCATGATATGTGTTTCCACTGTATCGTTCTCTTTCAAAGTTAATGGAACAATCAGTGGCTATGTAACACCATCCAGATGAATAAAGCAAGGGGATCCGTTATCTCTTACCTATTTATAATTGTTGCAGAATTTCTTACAGCTTTGATTCTACACTTTATCTTTAATGGTTTGCCAAAGGGAATGAAAATATACAAAAATGGGCCCATGCTCTCTCATCTTCTTTCTGCAGATGGTTCTCTATTCTTCTGCAGAGCAGGTACTGACCAAGCAGCCATTCTCATGAACATACTTGAGCAGTACAGACTCTTTACAAGCCAACCAGTTAATTTAGATAAGTCTAACATATTCTTCAGTATAAACACACCACATCATCTTCAGAATTCCATTTGTAGAGCCATGAATGGTATTATTTCACACAGGTCAACCAGATATCTTGGGCTTCCACTTGGCATTGGCATATCAAAGAGGGAATTTTGTGAATACCTGCTTACTTTCGTTAGAAATAAATTAACTAGTTGTAAGGCTAAACTTTTAAGTGAAACAGGTAAAGAGGTGCTTATAAAGGCTGTCATTCAAGCATTACCTGTCTTTTGAATGTCCTGCTTTATTCTGCCATTATCTCTTTCTTCAGAAATTTCAAAACTATGCACAATTTTGGTGGAATTCAGGAGTTGACCAATCTCAAGGTGTACTATAGAAAAAATGGAGTTTCCTATCTCTTCCTAAAGATCAAGGCGGACTGGGCTTTCATGATTTGCAGATATTCAACAAAGCCCTTATTTGCAAACAATTATGGAGGATAGCATCAAACCTATAACTACTTGTCAGTAGAATTATTAAAGATAGGTATTTCCCTCACACCTCTCTCATTCATGCTACAAAGAATCAAAGTGAATCTTGGATGGAGCAGTTGGATGGATATGATGCCTATCTTTTCCAAGTGTTTAAATATTGAAACCAGAAATGGGGCTAACACCAGAATTGCATACTTTAATTTGGTGCCTAATCTTCACAAGCCTGCCCCTACACTAACTCTCATTGCTAGAGGGCATCTGATCTGGGTTAAAGAGCTGCTGCAGGTAAATGGCTCTCAATGGAATGAATGGATCGTTAGACAGGTATTCAATGAGACAAAAAGTAATGCAATTCTAAGCATCTCTACTCTGCACTCTCACATGAAAGACAGAATTTACCGGGGTCTAGAGAAGAAGGGTATTTTCACAGTCTCTAACACTTATTGTTAGTGTTATATACTAAAAGTTTGTCTTTATTTGGATGATATTACACTTCTGCCCTTTATGAATGAGAATCATGTTTGATTAAGCAAGTTCTATGTTCTATTGTTTTGCACTTAGATAGAATGGGTCATCATCGAGTGAACAGAAGATCATTTTATCAGTTACTTGCAAAACAAGAATTGTGGTTAACAACCTAGATGGAAATGAACACACTATTTGAACGGTTGTAGTGTCAACTGTACAGTTGGTCTTAACTGATTAGTTGGACTAGTACATTTATGTATTGAACAGGATCCCAGAGATGAGAAGTTCGTTTTATATTGATCGTCGTAAACGAACTAGGCCTCGATTAATTACTGCGTTCTCTTAACCCGTAAGATATTAAACAAACATATATATAAAGTACATATTACTTTGATTCACTTGGGTGAGGTTCAGTTCGCTGGACTAATATTCTAACTGTCTTGGGTAATATTGTTGTATGTATGATGTGTTGTTAGGATATTTACGGTCACGATGTACGTTTAGTTTGATGATGTCCCCGAAGTGAGTTCATGAAGGATTGTTATGCTAAACCCTGCAGGTGGATTAAATTTCGACATGATAATAATGTGATGAATGAGCGCTAGCTTTGGTAATAAAATATATTAATTAATTCTTGATTATCAGTAATCGAATCAATTAATGAACATTATATCTTAAACATATGGAGGTAATTCGGGCAATTATAATTGGTGTCTCGAATGTAATTTGGGCTAAGAAAAGGGAGTGGAATAATATTACGTTAGTGGACCGTAATATTATTTAAGTAATTGGATGAATGGGTCTGGCCCACTGTTAGTCCATTACTTAAGAAGCCCTATTCCTATTCTCCTAAGTATCCCTACTGTAGCTCTATATATACATCATTAAGCTCATTAGAAGAGAATATATCTATATTAATGTAATACATGCACGCCCCATACTCTCTCTCTAGATCTCATTCGAGCTTTATCTTCTTCTTGTTGCTCTACCGGTACAAGTTGAAGACGTGTAAGAGTGATACAGTAGAAGATCCCGAAGTTAATCGAGATTCGTCGACCCGACTTGTCGGACGACCACCACGAGACGCCATAGCCCCGGCGCTCGGCCACCCCGCGCGACAAGACCGGCAGCCACCCGATTGCACGCGACCGACGTCCTGACAATCCACGCACCACACGACCCCATCGATCCCGCCATCCGTTCGTGTGTTGTTCTCGGTCATCCCAATCCGTCAGATTCAGAAAATTTTAAGCCGTAAGTTTTCTACGTCAAACCTTCAGATCCACTGCGCATAGGTTTGCGTTTGCTATTGAATTCGTGACTTGTACATAACGAGATTCTCATAGATCGCAACACTTATGCCTACCTCTCCAAACTCAAGCTCTTGCATTCAGACATTCTAGAATGCAGCACCACCACAACCCCTAGGAATTCAATCAGATTCAAACTCTGGAAGCTGAAGGTAGCAGGTAAAATTAAATATTTCTTATGGAATTGCATTTCAGGTACCCTGCCAGTTGCTTTTCACTTGAGGAAAAGAGGAGTGGATATAGACACCACATGTACACTCTGTAAAGAAGCTGCAGAAATTGTGGAGCACATTTTTTTTCTCATGTTCAAGGGCAGCCAGATTTTTGGGAGTTATGCCCTATTCAACTCACTATGTACGTGCTTTGATGGCTTTGGAAATCAAGGAATTTATGGATCTTTAAAAAATCTTTAATCTCGGATCATATATTGGTAAAGATGGCTCAATCTCATTGGCTATAATTCTCCCATTTTCTTAGCTCTTTTTGTTTCCTTTTATTTTTCTGTAGCTTTGTTGTAGATTTGAGTGGAGTGCTTTGTTATGCTTTATAGCAGTGGTCAGATGCTTCACTCTGTCGACTTTTCTAAAAGTCTTGTTGTTTAGTTGTGTTTTTTCTTTCTGTTGAGGCTCTAGACTGCTTAGAGCGTGTCTCTCATTTTTTATTTTACTAGTCGATGTTGTACCGCTTGTATTCGAACCTTGTTCGTTTTGAGTTTTAATAATACTTACCTCCGTCGTTTTGGGAAAAAAATAAAATAATATAATTATCAATATTTAATATTATTTTTATACTAATTAATATCCCATCATTGCTTTAATTACATGCAATTATAATTGTTGTCTCGTGTATCGCACGATCTACGTACTAGTTTTAAGTTTGAGAAAATGAATAATATGATGGGAGATACTATGAGTTTGAGAATAAATGAGTTTTTGAGTTGGATCAAATAAATAAGGTTTACGGTCGGAGGTAGCATGGGACTCGGAGAATTCCGAACCGTTTCGAAAACCAAACCAAAATCACTCCGAATCGAAAATAATCATTGACCGTTTGACTTTCTCCGAATCGAGCGACACCGAAAAATAATTGGTATTGTTCTGGAGATTTCACAAATATTCGTATTGAGGAGCGAACCGAACCGTCCCATACTGTACCGAACCGAAGAACCGAATTATAAAAATAGATGTTTGTTATTAATACATTTTATATCAACTTTCATCCTATATAATTTGAGAATTATAAAATGCAAATAAAATATTGTAATAACAATTAAGCTCCACTTAATTTCATGCTTATTAATACTTGATTTACAATTGAATTTTTTCTATTTTAAAAAGAAAAATATTTAAAATTGAATGAAATGTTAAAGAAATATTTTTTTTAAAAAAAAAATTCAAACTTCACATAAATTTGTTGAATACTTAGTCTTATTCTATCTTATAACTAACATGGTACGGTAGGTTAAAGAAACATTATTTTAATAAAAAACTTTATTATATTTTGTTTGAGTTTTAAATTTTCAATATTAGTTGCACAAATATTGATTTAACTAAAATTTATTTAAAAATAAAATATATAGTATGATTAATGTTGATTTAAAAAGAAAAACGTATAAAAATTAAAATATAACTAAGTGATTATTCAAAAAAAAATACTTAAAAATCTCCGAATATCTGAACCGTACCAAATTAAACCGAACCGTTTCGACAGTCCTGAATACTGGACCGAACCGAAAAATAAAAATATCCAAACAAAATTTTTGGTACGATTCGGAGATTAAATTTTAGTAATCTCCAAATATCGGTACGATTCCGAAAATTTGTCAATCTCTTCAATCGTTCACCGGAAACTTTGACCTGTTAAAAGTAGAAAATACCGGAAACTTTGACCTGTTAAAAGTAGAAAATACGAACGTACATAGAGAAGTAGAAAACTGTAAAGAGAGTCTGAGAGCTTTCCCCCTCTTTCAATGTAGATCTCCAAATATACGTAGATGTGTACATACGTATACTTGACAGATTCCATTTTCAAAATTTAAAGCTAATCGTCATCGATGGAGGCGCTTTCGACGGCGATCAAGCCGCCGCTGATTCTCCCGGCGACGACGGCGGCTCGATGCGATCAGAGTGTGCTTTCCTTTGGGTCGCTCAGGAGTCCAAGCGCATATCATGGTCGGATGAGGAGGCGAGTCGTGGCGAATGCTCGGCCGGAGAGTCGCGTTTCTACCCCTCCGGCCATTGATTTCGGCGATCCCGACTGGAAGTCCAAGTACCAGAGGGAATTCGAGGCGCGCTTCAGCCTTCCCCATATCAAGGATATCCTGCAGGACGCCGTTTCGTATCCTTCCCCTTTCCGTCTCCGAATGAGGTTGGTGGGAGGAGAATGGAGACTAATATATTCGATGGAGGGTCATTTTTTCACGTAGAATCATTGTCTTCTTCTTGGCTTTTGGCCATTTCGTTTTTGTATACTCTAAGTAACATCAGTCTTGAGCACATTCTGGTCTGCTTTATATTTGGGATTGTAGTTCATGTGAAATAAATGCATTTTATCCTTTTTGTTAGAAAATAATAGCTTGATCTTTGGTTGCAGGACGCCTTTAAGTCCTGATGTTGCGGAAGGTTATCGATCGGATGATGAATGGCACGGATATATAAACAACAATGACAGAGTACTGCTCAAGGTGTCATTTTTCTTCCATCCTGTTTCCTGTTCTATATGGTATTTCGTGGCAACTTCTCCTATTTTCTTGTATTTTTATGGTAATGATGAACAACTTATAACTACTTGAGAATTTATACCATGGCCACATGGATGTGTAAATTGAGAAATAGAAGAATGAGTGGTAAAACTCTGTTGATTGACATGCTTACTAATACATTATGCCATAGTTCCATCATCCGACTTTTCAGTTGTTTAGCTAAAAAGATTGTACCCTGACACTCAACAGTGTATCGCCGACTTTTCAGACCTCTTGCAGCTACCAGCTGCGGTTTGTGGTTGCATCTCAGTGTCGCTGCTATATCCCGCATATTATATGTTTCAAGTTCGATGAATTATTCATTTGTAAATGTTGCCATATTCTCGGAATTTTCTTTCTTTCATTATTTGAAACGTAACTTTACTGTTGAAGCTAGGCTTTTGCATTTTTATCCACTTCGCTTTTGTTCAGTCTGAAAATTAGTATGTGGCACTTTCTATTTCTTATTAAGTCCGCATCTTATATGGCTGCATCTCATTCAGGAGATAGTCCAATAACAAATTATATCTGGTTAACGCATTGCGTGGTCGGTCTCTGTTAGGAATATAGGATTTCAAAATTGATAATTACGCCTTTGACAATTAGTTTCTATGTTTTCAGAAGTTACCAAAAATTGAACTTCGCAGTTTTTTCTTTTTTTTTTTAGGAGTCCAGTGGTTTGTATACCTCTTTGCAGGCGATTTCGGTGTTGCTTAATAAATGCTAACATAAGTTCAATTGTAAAAGATTTGCTATGAGCGTATTTTGTGTATATGTGTGAGTTGACACATGAAGAATCAGATTTTAAATCGTTTATAATTTCTATAAGTTAACATTTAGTATATGCAGTGAAATATTTACACATTTGTTCTTCTCGGATTGTGGTTAGACAGATGAAAGAGACTGTTTTATATCTTTAAGGAATAGAAGTGTTTGCTCCTAAAATTTCTTTATGCTTTTTGTCTAACAAAAAGTTATTTCCTCAATGATTTAGGTGATACACTATTCCTCTCCTACATCTGCGGGTGCCGAATGCATTGATCCAGGCTGTACATGGGTGGAACAATGGTAATTATCTTAACATCTACATTGACTCTACGAGATTATAAAGATCGAATGACTAGAATTGTTAGATTGAGTTTATTAATTGAAATCGGAGCTTGGGGTTTTTGATGATTCTCCAGACAGATAAAATAATGCAGAGTTTTATACGAGCAGAAATTTCAGTATTAGATATGTTGTATTTCCTGACCATGAAATATTGTTATGTCTGTTGAAGCAATTCTCACATATTTGTGTCTTGTTTCCACATATCGAGCAGACGACTCTCTTAGTGACTCAGCAAAGCTAACCTGAAGCTTAATCAAGGGCAGACCAGTGTTCTATAATAGTCTTAAGCGCATCTCAACCACTGGCCTCTTTCACTCAATATAAATGAGATATATCTGAGAAATGCCATTGTAGGAGAATGTGCTGGTGATAAATTTCTCATAATTGAATCTGGTTTACTCAGATAAAGACATTAGGATAGATGTCATCTGAAATGTTAAATTAGTGGAGAACCAATTTTCGTGTCTTATCCTGCTTAAGATTTAGTTTCTCCCATTTACATAATTTTCTGGTATGTTAATTGCTTTTATATTTTCCTAGTTAATATCCCATAGTACAATTCGTTCCACACTCATATAATGGCTTTAGTTTCACCTAAATTTCAGGGTTCACCGTGCTGGACCACGAGAAAAAATATACTTTAAACCTGAAGAGGTAAAATCAGCAATTGTTACCTGTGGAGGTCTTTGTCCTGGTCTCAATGATGTAATACGGCAGGTATTTTGATACATGAAGAACTGAATTCTTATTTCATGCATCTTGATATTCTGATTCAGTTGTCATCATAACTTCTACTAAGAGCCCGGCCTTGCTGATGTTTCCTCATCGTGGTCACATCAAAATCCAATCTCAGTAATACCGACATTGTATATGCTTCACATATATAACTGTACATAACATATTACAAGAAATGACAGACTGAATGTGGCAACTGGAAATGAATGTGAGGTATAGTCCTTCCGTTTTTCTAAGTCTGGTGTTGCAATTGCATGCCATATTGGATTCTAAAAACTGTTCAATGAAGAAAGAACTCTTTATTTAATTTCTCTTTCTTTGGTGTGGCTGCAGATAGTCATCACTCTTGAGATATATGGTGTTAAAAAAATTGTGGGAATTCCTTTTGGCTATCGGGGGTTTTCTGACAGTAGTTTATCTGAAATGCCGGTGAGTTCCTCTGCTATTCTGAGTGAGAGTCTGGACTAATCCTTTCAAAGGTTGATAGTTAATTTTAAACGAGATTTCATCATGAGTTCTCCTTCCCATCACATAATCTAGAGTATTCAATCTTTTCTACATTAGTGATGCTATTCTTATTCTATACAATGTGGCTGTGAACATGGGAAGCTTGTTGCTCCGATAGAATATTCTCTTACAAATCTGAATAATGTGCTTGAGGACTTCATCACAATATTCCTTTCAAATATGAGCTTATCTTACATTTTTTCAATGTGCTCAACTGATGACCCTGTACCTTAGTTATCTGTTATATCATTAAGTATATTGCAAAGAATCTATCCTTTTTTCCATATCTAGTCCAACATACAACATTTATTTACTACCGCCCCAATTCTCTGTATATTACCTTGTTTCATGGTCATTTGGATGTTGTAAAAACCAATCTTCAAAACATCATATAGTTTCTATCTCACAAATTTGATAGCTTTTCTAGAAACACAGAGCTTTTTTCCATATGGATCTAAATAGAGTAATATGATGCCGTATCAGTTATCGAGGAAAGTCGTCCAAAATATCCACCTATCAGGAGGAAGCATGCTAGGAGTCTCCCGTGGAGGGCCTACTATTAGTGAAATTGTGGACAGTATGGAGGTATATATCAGTGCTCCTTCCTTGTTTCTGGCTGTAAATCTGATTAGTTGTCTAATGTTGTGGTTGTCTATTAATTGTTGTCCATTAACCTGATTAGTTGTCTATTAACCTGAATTAATGAATTTGATGACAGGAAAGAGGGATTAATATGCTCTTCGTGTTGGGTGGAAATGGTACACATGCTGGGGCCAATGCCATACACAAAGAGGTATTTTACATCTGAATTGTGACCTTTTTACTCAGAATTGACCCTCTTCTAGAATTTATACCATTTTCTTTTAGTTCCACTATTATTATTTACTTTTGATCAAGACATCCAGTATGAACAAAGAAGTTGAATAAAAAGAATACTTGAGAAGTCTTTCTCCAGAAACAAACCTGAAAAGTAAACAATTTTTGCCCTTGGATTATACTAAATCCTGTAGGACTTTCTTTTTCTTCTAGAGCAGTCAGTTGTGTGAAATAAATCGTGAAATGACTAGTAATGTGTATGTACAAATGCTGTCTGCAGTCCTGTTGATACCTGCTCATTATTTCTGGTTGCTGTGCAGTGCGGCAGAAGACGATTAAAGGTAGCTGTAGTCGGTGTGCCAAAAACCATAGACAACGATATTCTGCTTATTGATAAAACATTTGGTTTTGATACTGCTGTTGAAGAAGCACAAAGAGCAATCTACTCTGCATATATTGAGGTATACTCTGATTGGTCTCTTTGTTCTAAAAAATAGTTTATCCTCAGTGAAAATTGAGTAATTATTTTTCTTTATATTTTTAGTAATAGAACTCATTTATTGAATGATACTCTCTTTACTTGACAGGCACACAGTGCTTATCGTGGTATTGGCGTAGTGAAACTGATGGGCCGTAATAGTGGATTTATAGCTATGCAGGCATCCCTTGCTAGTGGACAAATTGATATATGCTTGATTCCAGAGGTACTGTTTCTATAGATGCTATTAGAAAAAAGATACCAATTTATTTGAAGTTTATTCACCTTCTATGAATTTATCAGGTGCCATTTAATCTTCATGGACCTAATGGTGTCCTAAGCCACCTAAAGTACCTCCTTGAGACAAAAGGATCTGCTGTTGTCTGTGTTGCAGAGGGAGCTGGACAGGTTTCTGAGATCCTATTTCCGCCATCTCTCTCTCTCTCTCTCTCTCTCTCTCTCTCTCTCTCTTATTGTTATTCTATTGGCAGGATCTCGTTAAGAAAACCAATGCTACAGATGCTTCAGGGAATATCATACTAGGAGATATCGGTGTGCATATACAGCAGGAGGTTGGTCCATTCGCCATTTGCCCGTTTTTATGATATTGTTTTCTGCTTTCTTTTACCTAAATCTGATACTCGAGGTTGGTCCATTCGCCATTTGCCTGTTTTCTATTTATGATATTATTTTCTGCTTTCTTTTATCTAAACCTGATACTCCTTGTTGGTGCTAGGCTATGATCTTTCTGTAATCTTTTTAATTGTCATTAGTCAATATATTATAACTCACTGAAACATCAATAAATAGTAACATGTTTTGCAAAGATAATAACTGTCTTTTCGTATCTGCATATGATCAAAACTTTAATTTGACATTTCAATAATTTTTTTACTAAAAAATTAAAAATTAAATTTTCTTATCACAGACCAAGAAATTCTTCAAGGAAATTGGGTTTCCAGCAGACGTGAAATACATCGATCCTACTTACATGATCCGTGCATGCCGTGCAAATGCCTCGGATGGAATTCTCTGCACTGTTCTTGGCCAAAACGCTGTAAGTCATCTATTTTGAGGGTTCAAAGGGTCTTTATTGTTGGTTTTCAGTTCTCGAGGAATTGTTAAACAAACAGAAGATAGGACTTCCGTCTGAGAGCTTTGACAAAATCAATCATGAAGTGCCATGCAATTTTGAATATTCCTTAAATGGCCTCCTGATGCAAATAATTCGAAATTTTGAGCACTGTAACGAATTCTTTCGAGTGCATCACATCTCTATAAATATGAACAATGATTACTTTAAAAATGTTTAATCACTAAAATATGCGTTAATATAATTTTGGCAGGTTCACGGTGCATTTGCTGGGTATAGTGGCATCACAGTAGGAGTATGCAATACTCACTACGTCTATTTTCCCATCCCCGAAGTCATTGCCCAGCCCAAAGTGGTCGACCCCAACAGCCGGATGTGGCATCGTTGTTTGACGTCAACGGGCCAACCGGATTTCATCTAAACTTTTAAAACAAATAGAAAAAAAAAAAATTAAAAAGAAGGTAAAGTACAATTTAACTCTGATGAACTTATAGTATTATGCTAGCCAAACTGCATTGATGCCGGTTTCGCGAGGCTCTGTCAGTTCAAAATTCAAAATCCGATTTAATTCCTTATCAGTATTCTTAAAGTGTACAGTATTTAGAGTATCAATGACCTTGCCTTCAGAGTTGGCGGGCGCAATAATTTTTTTTTTTTTTGGACATTACAAGAAAATTGGAAATTAGCTCGAGATTAGAAAGTACTGCCCTGTGATTGAGGTAAGTGTTACAAACCCTATTGTTGCACCAACTAGGAAACAAATTGACTCTTACCTGCGCCGCAGTTTATTATTTAATGCATACGGTCTTCATTTTCAATCATGCCTCATTTTTTTGGCAGTTTATCCATAATCTTTACTTTGCATAAGTTCTTTTTGGTACTACAATTCAAATATGTATTGAGTTCTAGGCTGAGTAGCAGGTGGCACACTGCAAAAGATTTGCTTCTGAAGGTTAGAAAATTGCAGTCCATTTGCAGTGACAAAAGGCCATTTCCCCCATAAGGTTTGCATTCGGCCTTTTCACTTGTTTCAGCTACCAAAAATTTTCTTGTAGTGTCTGTATTTGGTGCCACATTTCACATCTGACGTGGTTTGTGTGTGTCATTGGTAGGGTGAGCAAAACCGATCCGAAACCGAAAAACCGAACCGAACCAAACCGATGTATTCGGTGCGGTTCGGTTCAGTTTTTCAAAAGTTCGGTTTTCGGTGCGGTTAGAATTTTGAAAAACCAGCGAATGTGTTAAAATGCAATTTATTTGTACTGCACTGGGGCCATCAAAGGTAGATAGGCTTTCTCTTTGCACTTTTGGGCCTTTGGGTTTGGGCCCTTTGGGGCTTGGGTCGTTTGGCTTTTATAAAGTAATACCCATACAATTAACAATTAAAAAGACAATTCACAATTTACAAAAAATTTATAATTTCTTTATCCTGCCCTTTGTTTCCTCGTGTGACCAAGAACCCTAATTTTATCCTCCAATTGATTAATTTTGGGTTTTTAGTTATTTGCGGTTAAAACGAAAACCGTACCGAACCGAACCGAAAATTTCAGTGTAGTTTTGGTTTGGTTTTTCCTCCAAGTTCGGTGCGATTCGGTTTGAGAAAGTGTATATTTTCATTTTCGTTTTTCTGTTCCGTGCGGTTTTTCATCGAACCATACCAATGTTCACCCCTACTCATTAGTGCAATTCTACAAGCGAAATTTAGGGTGTGAATTTATATAAAATTATTCAATCTATACATATCATACTCAAAATTTAACTCAGCTCTGGTCCACCCATACTACATCAATATTTATCAATGTAATTAAATAATATCAATCAATCATTCTTATAAATCACATCAATTTTAATTCATTATTTATCCACTCACATAATTTGAACTAATCATCACTTCATATCATTTCTCCCTTACTTTTACATTAAATCAATTTTAAATATTGTATTTTAAATATTATTATAAATTAACCTCAAAATCATACTAACATGTAAATATACCACTTTTTCTAAATTTAATCATGATTAACAAAAAAAATTGTTTTGAGCGTATATATTTCATATACAGACACGCAAAAACTCCAAAATGGGACAGAAAGTCTTTAATTCTCCATTTTATAAAATAATTCACATTGTACACGATTCATACTTAAAATTTAACTCATCTCTAATTCAATCTCACTACTTTCAGTATTATCAGTATAACAAAATAATATCAATCAATCATCCTTATACATCACATCAATTTTAATTTATTATTCATCTATTTACATAATTTTAATTAATCATCACTTCGTATCATCTTTCTTCTACTTCTACGTTGAATCAACTTTAAATATTTTATTTTAAATACTTTTAATATAAACTCAAAATCATACTAACATCTGAATATACCACTTTTTTTTCAAAATTAATTATGATTAACCAAAAGAATTATTTTGAGCGGATATATTTATATATAAAATCTCTAAAATGGGACGTAAAGTGGGAGACTTCTTTAAAAATCTCCAATCTTTTTTTCATCTTTCATGTCAGTCCCTATATAAAATAAATCTTTTGCACTCCCTACCTCTCTAATCATTTTTCCACTTAACTCTCCATCTTTAAAATAAATCAAAAATAAATACAGAAATGACATCACAGTATCACACCACTTAACTTCCACTTCACATATTATTTTATTATTTCTCTCCCTTCCCACTATAATCTTTATTAAATTTTTATTAACTTTTTCTCTCTCTTTCTATTTATTTTTTCATTATTTTTTTATTATCTTCTAGTATTTATCTCTTAATACTATTTTTTTCTTATTTTTTTATTAATTAATATAATTTTTTTTTTTGTATAATCCATCCAAATAAAAAAGGTTATATTTTACTAATCTTTATTTCATATGAGTATATATACTTAATCTATAAATCTATATTTTTTTATGTTCAAATTTATAAACTAATTTTCTAAAATTAAATTATAATTTTAAATTTATTAAAAAATATTTATTCAAAAACTATCTAATTTCAAGTGAAATATATATCAACTAGTTTGATACCCGTGTACTACACGGGTACGTAAATATTAATATTTGTATAATAGAAAAACTAAAATAATTTATTTTAAAGTTGTATTATGGATAATGAATTTAAAAAATAATGAATAACTAACAAAGTAATAATTAATTCAAAATGTAGTCTGTATTGTTGCACATAATTTTCTTATTTTATTTAAAATCTATGATAAAACGCATTAATGATTATTTTATGGTGTATTATTGAATTAGATTTTTATTATATTTGTTATAAAATAATTTATGTTGTATTAATATATTTGAAATTATTTTTAATAAATATAGTTTTATTTATAATGATAGATGTAATTATTTTTTACTTTATATTTGCAATATGGATGTCAAATCGAAGATCAATAAAATATGATTATTTTGAGATATAACATACAAAAATAAAATACAAAAAAAAATAAAAATATTTAAAAATAAAAAGAAACACATATTTATTATAAGAATAATTATATAAATTAAATAAGAAAAAGTAAGAGTAATATATGGTAACTTGAGAAAAAAACCTAAAATAGTTTATGGTAATTCTCAAGTCTAAAACCAAACATGTACACGTGTCAATACAAAGCATACAATTATGTCAAATAAACTTCTGAAGCATATGAGTCTGACCTTTAAGCTCATGGCATTCGGAAATTATATATAGGGGTGATTTACAAAATTATCATTAATATCTTATGACAAGTTATTATAGGGTATGCTAAAAATTGAGAATTATTATCACCTTGATTTTATAACAAATCAACATAAAATTCGACTTTCATACCTATACCAAATTAAATTCATAACACTTATTTTATTTTCAAAATTAAATACACTTCTATCCATATCAAATGAAATTCATATCATTTAAATTTGGACATTTCATGCCAAAATAAAACCGCCCTCATTTTATTAATTATAATACTGACCTCCTATTTTATTCTAAAACTAAGTGTCATATAATATTATTAAAATATTTTTTAATTTAACAACCCAATTTTATTATATGCAAACATTTGATATTTATAACAAACAAAATTTTATACTCTAATAGCTTACGCAACACGAAATTCTACTTAGCTGTAGTATAAGAGCCAAAATGCGATGAATTACGTTATAAACATTTTAAAACACTAAATATAATTTCAATATAAATGGCCATTAAGGTGTAATTATATTCTTTATTGTGAAAACTTGTGTGTCCAAGACTAAAATTTTAAATATTTGTTTGTTAAAAATTAAGCACATCATTTTTTTTAAAGAAAATAAGTAAATACTATGATAAAATATCAACCAATTTAATGCGTGATATATCATGTGTAACAGTTTCTTATATGGAATGTTTCGTCTAAGAGATTTTAATTGCAATATTTAGATGTTGCAATTGTGGATATATTAAGAGATGATTTTTATTTATACAACAACAACAACAAAGTCTTTTAGTCCCAAACAAGTTGGGGTAGGTTAGAGATGAAACTCAATAGAAACAGTGGTAAAAANNNNAAAAAAAAAAAAAAGAGATTGGAGCAAAAGAGAAAAGAGCAAAAGTCACGGTTCCGGCACGTTGAAATTAAAAGACAAATTTGTTTCCATAAAATGAAAATTACATAAAAATAAAATTCGAAATTAAAGCTCTATTGAGTTCAGGACCACTTGTCGAGGAAACTTAATTAAACACGTTCAAATACTCATAGGAACTAATGTATTTTTAGTCATAGAACATCATTAAGACCGAAATTCAGTGTTTTCTATGTTCGTCGGAGTTGGTACTAAAGACCCAATATCTTGTACTAAAACATCAAAAGTTGATACTATCTTACTCTAGGTCTGGTGCCAATTTTTACAAATGTTGACCAAAATTTAAGTAATCCATTTTTGTTGACCAAAAGTAGGTACTAATTGATTAAAAACGGGTACTATGCATAAGAAAATGCGGTACTATTTCTATCAAAACTTGTACCATTTTAGTAATCGTGATTTCTTTAATCCTCCACGTCTACCATGCCACGTGGATCGTTCACGCGTGATTTGGTTGAGAAATAGTGGAGGTTCACCCATACAAGTAGAATTTGAAATATTCATGTATGATCATTCAATGAGATGAATTGTGTCTTTTAATGAGATAAAGTGTATTAGTAGTGTTTTTCAATACTGTGATGAGTTCGTGACCAAATTGTCATTAAACTTAAATAAACACATTCTAAATCTCATAGAAACTAATGTGAGAGTGATAATGGGTATTATGAATAACATTTTGAGACCGAAATTTGGTGTTTTTTATGTTCGTCGAAGTTGGTACTAAAGACACGATATCTGGTACTAAATCACCATAAAGTTGGTACTATCTTTACTTAGGTCTGGTACCAATTTTT